AAAAAAAAAAAAAAAAACCCTAATACCAATCCTACTCAAACTATTCCAAAAAACAGAGGAGGAGAGAATACTTCCAAACTCATTCTACAAGGCCAGTATTACCCTGATACCAAAACCAAGGACACATCAAAAAGAGAGCTACAGACCAATATCTTTCATTAATATTAACTCAAGAATCCTCAACAAAATACTAGCAAACTGAATTCAACACATTAAAGAGATCATTCATCATGAACAAGAGCGATTCATCCCAGGAATGCATGGATGCTTTGACATATGCAAATCAATGATATATACAAACAGAATGAAGGACAAAAAACATATGATCACTTCAGTTGATGTTGAAAAGCATTTTGATAAAATTTAACATCCCTTCGTGACATGATCCCTCAAAAAACTGGGTATAAAGGAACATTCCTCAACACAATAAAAGCTGTATATGACAGACCCATGGCTAGTATCATACTGAATGGGAAAAAACCCTGAAAGCCTTTCCTGTAAGATCAGGTACATAAAAAGAATGCCCACTTTCACAACTATTATTCTACATTCAACATAGCACTGGAAGTCCTAGCCAGAGCACTCAGAGAAGAGAAAGAAATAAAAGGCATCCAAGTTGGAAAAGAAGACGTCAAATTATTCTTCTTTGCAGATGATATGGTCTTTTGGTTGGAAAATCGTAAAAAAATCCACCCTAGAAACTATTACAACTGATAAATTTAGTAAAGTTGCAGGATACAAAATCAACATATAAAAATCCAGCAGCATTTCTATATGCCAACAGTGAACAATCTGAAAAAGAAATCAAGTAATCCCATTTACAATAGCTACAAACAAAATAAAATGCCTAGGAATAAACTTAACAAAAGCAGTGAAAGAACTCTACAATGAAAACTACAAAACCTTGATGTAAGAAATTGATGAGGACACAAAAACATAAAAAGATAGTCCATGCTATGGATTTGAAGAATAATTATTAGTAAAATGCCCACACTACCCAAATTAATCTATGGATTCAATGCAATCCCTATCAAAATACCAGAGACATTCCTCACAGAAATAGAAAAAATAATCCTAAAATTTATATGGAACCACAAAAGACCCAGAATAGCCAAAGCCATCCTGAGCAAAAAGAATAAAACTGTAGGAATCATATTGCCTAAGTTCAAATTATACTACAGAGCTATAGTAACCAAAACAGCATAGTACTGAGATAAAAACAGACACACAGACCAATGGAACAGAACAGAGAACCCAGAAATAAATCCATACATCTACAGTGAATTCATTTTCAACAAAGATGTTACAAATATATATTGGGGAAGGGACAGTCTCTTCAACAAATAGTGCTGGAAAAACTGAATATCCACATGCAAAAGACACTAGACCCCTATCTCTTGCCATATGCAAAAATCAAATCAAAATGGATTAAAGACAAATCTAAGACCTAAAACAATCAAACTACTAAAATAAAACACTGGCAAAAGTCTCCAGGACATTTTTGCCTGCCCAAAGTCTCCAGACTTTGCCCATGGTCTGGGCAAAGATTTCTTGAGTAATACCCCACAAACACAGGCAATGAAACTAAAAATGGACTAATAGAATCATATCAAGTTAAAAAGCTTGGGCACAGCAAAGGAAACAATCAACAAAGTGAAGAGACAA